CCTGCACCCAAGGCCAGCCCTCACACCTGGCGACCCCACCCTCCTGAGGGCGGAGACACCAGCTGCCCACAGACGACCTGCCTCCCGCAGACCAACATCATCCTACATGGAGAAAAGTTGACGGCATTCCCTCTAAAACCTGGAAAAAGGCAGGGACACCCTCTGTCACCACTTCTATCTACACAGTTCTTGAAACACTGGCCAGAGCAATTAGACAGACAAAAGAAATTAAAGGGATACAGATAGGAAAAGAAGAACTCAAATTAGCACTATGTGCCAACAGTAAGATTCTATACCTATAAGACCCAAAATATTCCACCAGAAAACTCCTAGAACCAGTAAATGAATTCAGCAAAGTAGCATCATACAAAATCAACACCCATAAATGAAAGGCATTTCTGTATATCAGTGACAAATCCCCAGAAAGGGAAACGAGGAAAACTACCCCATTCACAATAGCCTCAAAAAAAAAGAAAATACTTGGGAATCAACAAAAGAGGTGAAAGACCTCTACAATGAAAACTAAAAAACACTAAAGAAAGAAATTAAAGAAGACCTTAGAAGATGGAAAGATCTCCCTTGCTCTTGGATAGGCAGAATTAATATTGTCAAAATGCCCATACTACCAAAAGGACTACCCAGATTTCATGCAATTCCAATCAAAATCCCAATAACATCCCACATAGAAATAGAAAAAGCAGTCATGAAATTCATCTGAAAAAATAAAAGACCCAGAATAGCCAAAGTAATCCTTAGCAGGAAGCATGAAGCAGGAGGCATCACTATACCAGACCTTAAACTATATATACTACAGAACAATAGTAACAAAAACAGCATGGCATTGGCACCAAAACAGACCTGTAGACCAATGGTACAGAATAGAGGACACAGAGTCTAACTCACATAGTTACAGTTATCTTATATTAGACAAAGGCACCAAAAACATACACTGGAGAAAAGATAGCCTCTTCAATGAATGGTGCTAGGAGAACTGGAAATCCATATGCAACAAAATGAAACTAAACCCCTATCTCTCACCATGCACAAAGCTCAACTCAAAGTGGATCAGGAACTAGGAATTAAACACTGCGCCTATTAGAAGAAAAAGTAGGTCTAAATCTCCATCATGTCGGATCAGGTTCCAACTTTCTTAACAAGAATCCTATAGCACAAGAATTGAAATCAAGAATCAATAAATGGCATGAAACTAAAAAGCTTCTTCTTGGCAAAAGAAACAATCTGTGAGGTGAACAGAAAGCCTATGTCTTGGGAGAAAATGTTCACCATTCACACATCAGATAGAGCACTAATCTCTAGGGTATATAAAGAACTCAAAAAGCTAAACACCAGAAAAACAAATAACCCACCAATAAATGGGCCAAGGACGTGAGCAGACACTTCTCAGAAGAGGATATTCAAGCAATCAACAAATATATATAAAAATGTTCAACATCTCTAGCAATTAGAGAAATGCAAATCAAAACTAAGATTTCATCTCGCTCCAGTCAGAATGGAAGCTATTAAGAACGCAAACAACAAGTGTTGGCGAGGCTGTGGGGAAAAGGCACACTCATCATTGCTGGTGGGGCTGCAAAATAATGCAGCCAATATGGAAAGCAGTATGGAGATTCCCTGGAAAACTGGGAATGGAACCACCATTTGACCCAGCTATTCCACTCCTCGGTCTATACCCAAAGGACTTAAAAAACAGCATACTACAGGGACACAGCCACATCAATGATTGTAGCAGCACAATTCACAATAGCTAAACTGTGGAACCAACCTAGATGCCCTTCAGTAGATGAATGGATAAAGAGAATGTGGTACATATACACAATGGAATACTACTCAGCAATAAGAGAATACAATCATGGCATTTGCAGGTAAATGGATGGAGTTGGAGAAGATAATGCTAAGTGAAGTAGCCAATCCCAAAACACCAATGCGGAATGTTTTCCCTGGTATAAGGAGGCTGATCCATAGTGGGGTTGGGCTGGGGAGCATGGGAAGATTAGGCGAACTCTAGGTAGGGTAAAGGGGTGGGAGGGGAAGGGAGAGGGAAGGGGGGTAAACAAGATGGTGGAATGAGATGGACATCACTACCCTAAGTACAAGTATGAAGACATAGACGGTGTGGATATACTCTGCGTACAACCAGAGATATGAAAAATTGAGCTCTATACGTGCAATATGAATTGTAATGCATTCTGCTGTCTTGTATAACAAGTTAGAATAAAAAATAAGTAAATCAATTTTTTTTTTTTTTAAAAAAAAGAGAGATGTTAAGAATCTCTGCAAACTGGATTCCTGTAGGAGAGGCTCCCAGGGCGGAAGCGTGAACAGCCAGCCTCTGGATTCGTTTTCCCACCAAGAGCCCTGCCCGTGTAAGACTCTCCGTGCAAACAGACGCGGCGGGTCCTTGGGAGCATCCGAATGGGCCTCCAGCACCAACCACGAGGCCCAGCAAACTTCACTGAGCTCCGAGCCAAAGGCCTCACTTCAAAGCGCTCCCCTGACCTCCTGCTGGCCACCGCACAGCTGGAACAGCCTCCTCAGAGCCCCGCAGGCTGAGTCACTTTCCCAGCACCGCAGGGTAGACTGTGGGATGGAACCCACTGAGGTCAGCCTTCCACTGGCTGGGGACAGGGCGGTGGAGCATTCCTGGAAGCCTTGGAACAGAATGGAACGCTGGCTTCTCACAGGGAGCCACATCAAACTCCTGGGCTTAAGACCCAAGCCCAGAGCCCACAGATAATGCCCTGGATGTTTCCAGCAAGAGGCCACAGAGCAGAATCAGGAGCAAACCAGAGCCTGCCCTGGGGTCACTGGGCAGCACTGAGTGACTCAGGTGCCCCTAGAGGCTGTGACGTCCGGCCATCCCCATGGACAGTGGAGTCTCCATGTGATGACACAGGATATGCCCAGCCATGTTGCTGGGGGCGCCCATGGGGCTGAGCAGTCCTCCTTGGTGGCCCCCTCTGACCTTGGGGCTCCATGTGTGGAGTCAGCCAGGCTCAGCTCGTCCACCCGAGCAGCTGGGGCACAGGTGGGCTCACCGGCCTGGAAGGTGGCTTGCTGCAAAGCACCCGGTTCTCGTGCAGGAGACACGTGTCACACAACCTCCTCGGAACGTCCCCCCTCACAGAGGCAGCAAGGGCCTGCAGAAACACAGGTCCCTGGGGGCAGCCCCAGGCTGGAGAAGCAGCACAGTGGGTGAGTCTCACTGCGTGGCCCATGTGGACCAGAGGGACCCAGAGACTCCTGCTTTGACCTCATCCCCTGAGTGTGGCTGGCTTGCTGCACTCAAGCATTGCAAAATATCCTGCTGGGGGGGCGGGGAGGATGGCGCCGCCCACTTCTTCTGGACAGCACAGCCGGGTTCTGGACAGCAGAGCAGGGTCCTGCTGGACATCTCCTCAGCACAGGATGCAGAGTTCTCCTCACCACGCCTCTGCTCATTCCTCCTGGAACTGCCGGCAGCCGGAGGAGAAACAGCTGGTCAGCTGAGGCTGTCTGGGCACCTGTCCTCCTGCATCTACTGCCTGCAGCTGTGCTGTGCCCCCTGCTCTGTGCCACCCATAGCATCTCTGCCACCCTACAGGCTGCTCCATCTCAGCAGCAGCAGGAGCTCCTCAGCAGCCACCACACAGAGCAGAAAAGCAAGAGGCACTTGTGTCCCAGCACCCCAAGCCAGTCCCTAGGACCCCAGCAGCGTCCTTGGGGTTAGCCTGTCACTGAGCTCAGGGACTGGGCCAGGGGAATGAAATGAGCCGAGAAGCCCAAGCCAAGACAGGCCCACTCTGGAGCTGCCCGGGGCAGCTTCCCAGGCACCGTGGGCTGCGTCTGTTGGGAAGAACCTGGACAGAACTGGGATCTGTTAAGACGAAGCAGGGGATGGGAGTGGACATGAGACTCATGAGTCCACAGCTGGACAGGAGGAACCAGGACCAACTGACCCACAGTGACCTGGGCTGCGATGTTTTTCTGGGGGCCACTGCCTGGTGAGACGCATCACACATGAAGTCTGGGCACTAGCCAAATGCCCCCAAGAAGCAGGTCCAAGAGAAGGAAGCCCTCTCATGACAAGGACAGAGCCATGGTTAGGTGCTCAGTAAATACTGATCAACGCTCACTCACTGCCGGTGGGCAGCCTGAGAGCCAGAGCCACTCTGATTGTTGCAGAGATAAAAAATGAAAGTGGGGCTGGGTGCGGTGGCCAAGCCTGTCATCCCAGGGGCTCGGGAGGCTGAGGCAGGAGGATCTCGAGTTCAAAGCCAGCTTCAGCAACAGTGAGGCCCTCAGCAACTCAGTGAGACCCTGTCTCTAAATACAACACATAATAGGGCTGGGGACGGGTTAGGGTGCCCCTGAGTTCAATCCCCAGAACCACCCCCCCTCAAAAAAATGGGAAGAAATGATCAGAGCTTGTGATGACCCCAACAGCCACTCCATGTCACTCACACAACCCATGATGGAAAACAGGACCCCCAGCTCACTGCCACTAAGAACCATGGTGACAACGGCAGTGCAGACCTCAACCCAAGGTTTTTACTATGTAAAACTCTTTACAGGGCTCTCGTACGGGTCTCCCCCTCTTCCCTGGTTTCCAGGTGTTTCCCACTGTGCTTCCCAGATGCCCACGCTCCGCAGGGTCTTGCCCCCTGACACCCAGTGGGAGCTCTCATCCTGAGGCATCGCCCTCGGCCGTCCCCACAGGCCTGTGCCCACCACAGGTGAGAGGGCACCTTGCCAGGTCCTCTGCCCTAGTCCACTTTCCATGTGGATAACACTAACGTGACCCACTGACTAACACAACCCTCCTCGACTCTGGGAGCCAGACAGTGGCTCCACGTGGCCAGGTGGGTATGGTCCCTGCAGGGTTGAGAGACACATTTGGCAGGAAAGCTCAGTGGTGGGAGTTTTGGAAAGGTAAGGGCAACCCCATCATTATTTGCCAATGAGGTCAAAGAAAAGCCAAAATGAATCAATGAAAGACTGTAATAATTAAATAAGGTTTTAATAAGGTAACCAAAATGTACAAAAGCCAGATAGCTTTTTATTTAAACAACAAGAAGAAAGAATCTTAGATGGAAAGACTACTTCTTATAGATTCTCCTGGTGTTCATCTACAGGTTAACAAAAGCTTCAAATTCCAAATAACTGGGTTTTTTGTTTTTTTGTTTTTTGGTTTTTTTTTTTTAATTTGGGGCTAGGAGGAAGGCCCAGGCTTGAAATAATACCAAAGCTTATATACCTAGAACATTTTTGACAAAAAAAAAAAAACTTTATTCTTTTCCACAGGTATTAGAAGGATGAAAACTACAGAACCTGACATGGGAAATGATAGCCAAAAACTACAGAAATAGAAACAGGAACATATGTGAGTCTGCATTCAAACAGGTAGCATCAGGCCAGCGCATGTTCAATGGGCTAACCACAATAGATCCCTACCTCACACCAACAGGCCGACCATGTTGCATCCCTACCTCACACCGAAGGGCCGACCATGTTGCATCCCTACCTCACACCAACAGGCCGAACCATGTTGCATCCTTACCTCACACCTACAGGCTGACCATGTTGGATCTCTACCTCACACCAATGGGCCGACCGTGTTGCATCCCTACCTCACACCAACGGGCCAACCATGTTGGATCCAAGCCTTGCGTCATTGGGTTAATCACATTGGACCCTTACCTCACAACACACCTGAAAATAAACTTCCAGTCAATGAACACTGAAATGTACTCAAAGGAAAACAGATAAAAATAGAAATACCTTTGGTGTGAGAGAATTTCCAAGGATGACCTCAATGGCACAAATGATTCTTGGCTTTTAAATTTGGATGTTTGTTTCTGATTTAAAATTTTAAGTTTTACAATGTTACATCAAAAGGGGGAAATGAATGCAATTAGAAGGCAAGTGACAAGTCAGGAAAAATCCTTGGTAATGGATATGTCAATGCTTTAGTCACTTACTATGTAAAACTCTTTACAAGTAAAAATACGGAAAACTAATTGCTCCATCAGGCAAAGAATGAGAGCAGACGTCATCCCAGCAGCACAGGCTGCCACCTCGGCAGGCGCAAAGGGAAGCAGAGCGGCATGGGAGCGCCACACAGGAGCGCGGTACTTGACACGAGGATCGGCAAGGCCACTGCTGGGACAACTCACCAAGTCCTACAGGACATGGGCTCCTGGCCCCTGGCCCCTGGCCCCCAGGACACCTATGCCAGGCTCCAGGCTGTGTGCCCCGGTGACGGCAAAATGATGCCGTGGGCGTCCAGCGGCTGTGCAGTGGGCCCTGGCTCTCACTGCCCGGCCTCCCCATGTGCAGACACAGGTGCACCAGTGGCTACCACAGCCTGCAGAGGGGAAGCGTCTAACCCTGTCTCCTGGAGGTTTGCTGCCGCCCACCAAGGGTGTGCCCCTGTTCCCATGGAAAAGCCGCTTTCGTGCAGGGACGAAGGCGCTGGGGACAGGACCACTAACACTTCACCTGCCAGGGAGGCCCTCGGGCGGGACGGCAACCTGGGCAGTCCAGGCCACTGTCACCACTAAACACCTGAGACACCAGGTGCGGCTTCTGAGCGTGGGGCTGATATTCACTTTCTTTTTGGAAGGATTCTACATTTTCAAAATAGTACCTGATGACCACATGCCTGGTTCATCAGCAGAAAAGGAGTGTGAGAAGGCAGAGATTAAGATCAAACGTTTTATTCCAGTTATTCAAATTTTTACTGCTGCTTTCAAAATGTTTTATCTTTTAAATGATCTCTACTTACAAGCTGACTCCATAACACCACCTCTGCCCTTAACCCTGCCTCCTTGCCCTCAGGTCCAGCGTGCCCACAGGACTGGGGTGGAGCTGGCAGGTGGCCTGAGCGGGCCTGTGGGTGGGCGTCATGTCTGTGGAGGGGACCCTCTGCAGGGGCAGAAGACACCTGTGTACCGATGGTCGGTCAAACCCCCTGGACCGTGAGCCACCCCTGCTCTGGGAGCTTCTCACAGCCACACATGAGAACAGGGACACGCAGGGACCTGATCTTGACAACTTCCATGTCCTGTTGATGAAAGGACAGCGGCTCCAACCCAAGGACAGGCGGTAAACCCAGGTCCCGCCTGATTGAAGGTAAGAAAGAAAAGGCAAAGCACAGGGATCCCCCAGGTGCCCAGGTAAGGCGGGCTCTCTTGCTGGACAGGGAGGGCTGGGCCTGGATGTGCTAAGGCCAGAGGGCACCGGGACTCCCACTCAGGCAGGGGGATAGGAGGACTCAGGGCCTGCTCCTCACGGTGGGGAAAGGCCATGGATCTGGGCAGCTTTGGGAAATGTCCTCAGTGGAAACTTCCAGATGCACCAAGAGCAGTGACCCACGGTTCTCCCCTGAGGCCTCACACCAAGCCGTGCAGAGGGCCTGTGGTATGAGCTAAGGAGGTCAGGGCACAGTCACGTGGCCGCCCAGCTGGCGCCGAAAAGCCAGGGAGTCCTGGGAGAAGCTGAGGCTTGTGATGCCCACGGGGGTCAGAAGGCCTGGACAGTGAGTGGCCACTCTGAGTCGGGGACCTGAGCCCAGGAAGAAGGTGTGGACTCCAGTGACCATGCGAGGTCCCTTTCCAACAGCAGCTCGGGACTCCAGACACTCCCCCAGGGCAATGCTGCTCAACCCGGGTGCAGGGCCATCAGCGCTGGGCACGGTGAGGCACTGGAACTTGGAGAAGGGGCCATCTGGGCGTCTGCGGAGTCGGCTTGGTGGCCATGTCCTGCTAGGCTTGACTGGCTCAGCTACATGGGGCACTGCAGCCAGCGCGGCTACAGCTTGGCCCGGAGGCTGCCCACCACGGGCTTGTTCCCAGAGAACTCTGGCCACCACGACGGGCGCTCCAGCACCCCGCGCTCCTGCAGGATGGCGTTCCAGAGGTTTTTATAGAGCTGCAGGAAACACAAGGTACGGGGGAAGAAAGGGCTCAGCGGGTCCCGGGAAGGCCGTTTCGAGGACAGGGATCCTCTGCAGTCACTTCTCAGAAAGTGTTGGGGTATTTTAAACTTAATGTATAAAAACCCTTTTTCAAAAGTGGAAAACAATTGGGACAATTCAGTTGTGAACTACGATGGCAGGCCCTGAGCTGCTCCCTGGGCTCGCTGCAGAGGTGGGTGCTACCTGTGCAGCCCACACCTTCAGCCTGCCCTGAGAATGTCCTCTGGCGCCCTTGCACCACCAGCCGAGCAGGCCAGAAGTGCTGGAGAGCAGGCCCGGCCGGAGGGGTGCCTGGGCCCATGTGGCCCACGGGCCCTGGTGCAGCCAGAGCCCCCTCGGGACCCTGTGCGGGACTGCCTGCTGCTCGCGTCGCCTTGTGGGAAACCCGGGAGGACAGTCCTGAACCAGCCTGGCTGGGGCCTGGTCCTCCACCTGCTGGAGACAGAGGTCAGACACCAAGGGCAGAGGGGCCTGTGACTCCAAAGGACCTGGCCTAAGGAAACGGGCCCTTCTGCCCTGACTGATGGCGGCCACCCTCACCTGAGGATGGCCCCTTGCCTGTGCCTGTGGCACACCTATCAACTCCAGCACCGCGAGTGGCCACCCAGACAGGCTGCTGCTTCTCCTGGGCACACACCCCAGCAGCTCTCATGTGGGAAGCATGCGCTCATTTGGGCCTTCCATCTTCTCGGGGTTTGCTCACTGAACTCCTACCTGGTCGCACCTGTTAAAGCTTGGCTCCTAGTAGCTGGAAGAAAGGTGCAGTCCAGGCCACCCCACCAGGTGACACCTCTGGCAGGCTCTGGCTTGACTGTGGCACCCAGAGCCAGAGGACCCTCTCCACCCTGGGGACACGAGGCTCCTTCCTCTCACACCTCCCGCCCACGAGCAAGGCAACTGCTCAGACGCAGGACCCGGGGCGACCCTCCCTGCCGCACAGGCTGCGTGTGGGGTTCTCCGCCAGCCACAGGACCTTCCACGGCAGGCCCCACTGCCTGTCTGCCTGGTCAGCCCCCAGGGGAGGGAAAGCCCCTCTCCTCAGGCTCCCACTGGGACCCAAGGTCCCCTCCCCTCTTCCTCATAAGCACCAGGACCCACCTCTCCACCTGGACCCTGGCTGGGCATGCTGACTGGGCAACCCTGGGCAACCCACAGGGCTTCTCTGGACTTGTGTCCCATCAGCAAAGTGGACAGGGGGACACAGTGTGGGCCAGGGAGGGTGAGAGGCAGAGCCTTGCTGGAGGACGGTGGGCCTTGGATGACTGCCCTGTCCCTCCTGGTCTGAGGCACTCGGGTCCCCCATGCTGCCCACCCGGGCCAGCTCTGCCTTGTGGTGTGCCCACCCCAACCCAGGAGTGGCCTGGACTGTGAGGCCGGCACCTGCCCTTCCCTGGACAAGTCCGTCACGGCTATGAAGCGTTGATTCTGGTGTTCCCCGCTCCCTGCCCAGTCTCCATTTAGGCAGAGCCCAGGTTGGCAGGTCCCTCTGGGGGACCCCGGGGGCCTGGGCTGGGTGACACATGCCCCCACAGCCGCAGCAGCAGACCTCAGACACGAGAGGAAAGATTGCGATGCCAGGTCCCCGTGGTTCAAGGGGCCCAGAGGCCCTGGGTATCGAATTCTGGGTGGGGACAGGTGGACCTGTGAGTGTCACCTCTGTGACACTGCCACTCACTGCAATGATGAGCCCTTCAAGGGTCACAGGGCAGTGGAGTGGGTGGGGGACGCTCCTGGGGGAGCCAGGGAAGGCTTCTGCGAGGGACGGCAGTGCCCGGCTCAGGCGAGTGAACAGGGCGCTCCAGGGAGCAGGTGCCCAGGCCTGGGCCGGGAGGGGGAGCACATGAGGAGAGTGTGGGAGGATGGTGAGCTGGGTCGAGGGCAGGAGCAGCACCTGAGAGCAGTGCTGCAGGGCGGTGGCGGGGGGATCTGGGGGTAGGGTGCCGGGGGGCTCCATCACCGGCAGGCTGACCCACCTGCTTCTACAGAAACCTCTGTGGAGCTCAGAGGCAGGAATGACGGGGCCTGGCAGAGGCCACGGGAGCCCAGGTGGGCGGGGAGGGGAGAGCAGCCCCAGGGCTGTGGACATTCACCGAGAGCTGGGGGCCTGAGCTGGGGTGGAGACCTTAACACAGCAGGTCAAGCAGTGACATGCTGACCAGGAGGGGACCGGGGCAGTGGCCAGGGATGGTCCTTCATGATGTCTGCAGTGCCACCCCTGCGACTGGAACTCAGAGGCGGCGGGAGCCAGCCCTGAGCCAGGCCAAGGTCTGGGGCAGGCAGCGGGGAGAGCAGGGAGGCCGGGCCGACTGCCACTCCTGGGCCTGGGTGACGGGGCTCCGCCGGGGGAAGAGCAGGCCAGGGACGGCATGGCCCAGCAGCCAGTGAGAGCACCCGACACCCACCCCGGAGGCTCCCTGAAGTGTGACGAGGTCCCAAGAGGCTCGGCAGTGCCACAGAGACTCCCGCCAGCCCCTAGGACAGCCCACGTGCCAGCCCCTGGGACAGCCCACGTCCCACCCAGATGAGGGGGTCCTTACCTCGCCGTCGGCCCTGGCGATCGGTGAGTCCAGAACAAAGTCAGGAGGAGCAATCACGTCCACCAGGGCAACCGCGTCGTCTTTCAGCTGTTGGAAAACACGGTCCCCACACTGACAACCACCCGCACTCTCAGGGCCACACCCAGTCAGCAGCCAGGCCCTGGGACCCAGGCGGGCACAGGCCGCTCTGACTCAGGGCCCGGTCACCATGTGTCTGGACACCCCACTGCGCTGCTGTTCACTCAGGATTCCGGGCTTGTCTTTCCCCGCAAGGTGGGGATGCGAGCAGAGACCCCAGTGCAGCCTGCTAACCAGAGCTGTCCCCAGAGGCTCGCCTTGGTCTCGGAGGACCTGGTGACTGCTGCCTGCCTAACCCAGAGCAAAGGGGCAGGAGTCACAGGACAGCAAAGACCATGGCTCCGGTGAGGCCAGCAGGGCGCAGGGCCCTGTCCTGTCTCAGATTGCTCTTCAAGGCCACAAAAGAATCCTATCTGCGGAGACCCCTGGAGTTTTCCTGGAAGCATGACATTTTTCCTTTGAGTAACTGGGATCGACTGTCCTAGCCACCCTGCCAGGTGGGAAGCGACTTCAGGGTCCTGACCAAGTAGCACAGCGCGTGACATGGGTGTGCATTGATATGCAGGCCACCCCGCAGCATGCAGACGGAGACGTCACGCATCCTGGCGACTACACACAGGGGTCACAGACGGCCACTCACCTGTGTGCACAGGCCCAGGATGGCGCTCTCCATCTGTGTCCCTGCGTGCTCATCAGAGAAGTATCCACCTGCAAGCACAGCCTTTGTCACAGCAGGGCTGGGCCATGGCCCCCTGCCCCCGCAGCAGTGTGCCCAGGAGGCCCTGGACAGTCCTCGGGAACCTGTTTGGATGGAGCTGCCCAGCAGCCGTGAGCCGGGAAGGATTGCAGCACTCAGACCTTGTCCCTGCCTGGATCCACTCCTCTGAGCATGTGATAGGCAAGTCAAGGGCCAGGCACTGGGGACAAGGAAACTGGCCTGGCCGGAGAAGAGGCAGTGAGACAGTGAGACTCTGAGGGCCTGGGCTCCACCGGCCAGGGCGGGAGGCTGGGCTGGTGCTTCTGAAGAAGGAACCCAGGCGGGGCCTTCGAGGCCAAAGGAGGCCAGAAGAGGCGTGTGGCAGCCGGGTACCCAGGACCACAGAGGGACCAGGAGGGCCACGGAGCCGTGGCATGCAGGGTCCGTGGGCCTCTGGAGCCACTGGGGTGGGAGAATCAACCCAAGGGAGGGCCACCTCCAGCCCCTTGGCTCCTCCGGAGACCTAACAGGTCCAGGGGCAGGGCCTGTGCGTTTGAGAAGGTGTTTGCTCAAGGATTCGCTTCCTGGAGGGTTTTCCTCTAGAGAATGGAGTCTGGCCACGCAGCCTCCTCAGACAGCGCTGGGCACTGTCCTGCCCAGCTCCTCCTCTGCCGGCCACTCTGCTGACCTGGGCCTCCATGGGGCAATGCCACCACCCCAGGGGCCCAAAGCTGGTCTTCGTGGTGGGGGGACCTCACTGCCCACAAGTCCAGACACAGCCCCAGCACAGGGAGGGCTCGTGGGGTGACTAGGAGAGAGCATCAGAAAAGGCTCCCCGGGAGAACCCTGGCTCCCCGGCCCTGCCAGTCTTCCAGATCAGCTTGGGCACCGCCTCCTCCAAGAAGCCACCCAAGATCTCTAGACTGGGAACTCCTGGCGGTGTTGTCCCAGCAGCCCGGTCCTGTGTCTGCCTGTGGCCCACAGGGTGGCTCTGCTCTCTGGAACCCAGCCCACTTCCTGGTGACAGTGGCCTCCTGAGCCAGGCACGGTGGTGCACCTGCTACCCCAGGGACTCCAGAGGCTCAGCACCGCCACCCAGAGAGACTCTGCTCAGAGTAACAGGTAAGAGGGGTGGACGCAGCTCAGCAGTGGACAGTTTGCCCAGCACGCATGGGGCCCTGGCTTCAGTTCCAGACTGCAACACACACACGCACACGCACACACATGCACACACACACGCACACGTACACACATGCACACACTCGCACACGCACACTTCTGGAAGCATCAATTAAGCGCACAGGAGGCTGACTCTGCAGGGACTGTGGACAGGGGCAGCTGCATTTGGCCAGCGGGTGCTGACATTTCTCTGCCCCTTCTGCTGGCCTCATGTCGCACTGGGGCACCTGGGTCCCTCCACTGAGCCCGCCTGGAGGTGCTGCCACACGGGCACGGCACAGCTGCCTACATTCACAGGGCATGGGTCCCGGGGGGCTCCTGTGCCAGGAGGCCAACCAGGACAGCGGTCTCACCTCGATAGAGCACAGCCGTGTGCCGGCTCAGCGACCACAGGGCGTAGAGAGCGCTGAGCCGCCCCAGCACAGCCCGCAGTGAGGACGGCACGCTGGGGCCGTGCGTGTAGGCGTGGAACCGCTGCACCACGGTGAGCTCCAGGAAGACCAGGGCCAGTGAGCGGCAGTGGTACACCTTGGAGACAGAACAGGACTGCGTCCACCAGGCTGCACACCACGGGGCTGCCAGGAAATGCAAGCCAAGGCCTTGGTGAGGCCAGTCCCACAGGCCCCCTGGGTAGGGGACGGGGACACAGCACACCTCAAGAGCTGGTCCACACACCCAACAGAATCGCCGTGCAGACACAGCCCAGCATAGCCTGGCACTTGGGCCCCGGGACCCTTGTGCCCAGCTCAGGCCATCTGGAACTTGGCTCAGCAGTGACAGCACAGGGGCGGGGAAGGCTCAGGAGGCTGCTGCTGCCCAGGGGAGGTGACACCAGCATGTAGCCCCCAGGGTGCAGGGCCTGCAGTCTTCTGCAGCTGGGACACTCGAGGGACCCAGAGGGGCTCCGTGGCCTGCCCCAGTGACACTGCTGGCAGCATGTCACTCCTCCAAGGGTCACCTAAGTTCCTAAAGAGGCCATTCTGCCCTCTGCTCACGCATTCGCCCTGAGACAGGAGGCCAGACGCGGAAGCCAGACACGACGCAGCCCAGACAAGCCTGCCTGAGCCTCTGGGCGGAGGCTGGCAGCAAGGGGTCACGGCTCTCAGTCGGGTCCCGCTTTCTCTTCTAACCTGTACCCAAAATATCTGCTGACAACCCTTAGTTTTCCTTCCCTCATCTCCAATTTACAGTCTCACCGGGTCCTTTTAAGTCCCGGGAACGACTGTGCGCTGCTTGGTTTGTGACTGAGCGTGAGCTGCTTCTGAGGTCAAAGATAACACATCAAGAGATGGATGGGGACCGCGGCGCCCCTGCGTGTGACACTGCCCCCACCTCAGCCGGAACACACAGGGCTCACCCCACCTGACTGCAGGGGCACGGAGCCTCCCCTCAGGCCTGCTCACCCTCGGGGCAGCACAGGGTCTCCAGTCCCAGGCGGCCTTCCCCAGGGCCCCGGGCACAGTCGCAGCCTCCGGAGAGCAGACACTCCTCCCTCTGCCTCCTGCCACCAGACTGTCCTGTCCCAAGAGCCCACAGGGTCATACACACTGTAAGGGGCCCACAGGGCCTCCACCACAGCCTGCCCTGACCCACCCTCACTTGCTAAGGTGCCAATAGAGGCTGGAGACAGGGCAGGGAGGTGAGGACTGCTATGGACCCCAGCTGGACCTGCACCCAGATCTCCCAGGGCTCTGCTGAGTTCAGGTGGGTGGACCCTCGGGCTGCTTGCGTCCTCTGGCTGGCCATGTGGCTGGGCCAGGTGCTCTGGCTTCCTGGGCTCCCCCGTCCTCCCCCGTCTTCCCTCCACCCACTGACAAAATGAAGAAGAGAGGGGACGTGAACCGGGCAGGCTGAGCCCAGCAGGTCCAGAAAGTCCCACCCACACCCCAGCACACACCACGAGCCCTCCTCCACAGGGTGTCCTCTCTGGGGTCAGAGGTGAGGTCAATCCCACAGGCCTGGACGTCGGCTGGGGCCTGAGCCAGGCTTGCTCTTCTGTCCATGCCCTCCCTTCCGCCACATGGACTGTCTAGTGTTCAGGTGACACTCCTATCGTCTTCCTGTGACAGCAGCACATCTCCATTTCTGCTGTGCCACGGGCTGGACGGGCGGCTGGTGAGCGTGGAAAGACAGCTGCCCCTGTAGCTCGCCACCACGCAGCAGGGACACCTGGTTCCAGGAGGTGGCAGCTGCTTCTGTGAGCAGCGCGTGCAGCCAAGAGCTGACCATCTCTGCACAGGAGCGTCCACAGCTGTGGTCGGGAGCCCTGGGTGTTGTTCAGGGTCAGCTTGAAGCTCGCAGGTGACGCTCCTCACACCTTGGGAAGCACCTGTGTTGTGGCTCAGCATGAGGACACGCCCTTGCATTCTTAGGAAACGTCCAGATAAGACCACTGGTCACAGGCTCCAGTGACAGACTCCTCACCAGTGTCTGTTGCTGCAGTCAGTAAATCTGACTGCAATAGTGACCAAGGTGGGCTGGGACATGGGACAAGGGCGTCCCCATCGTCACTGTTACAGCTGGTACCTTCAGGCCAAGGTGTTCCTGGAACCAGTGTGGGCAACTCACTGTCCCCAAAGCTGTACCAGTCGTGGACAGGACAGTGGGTGTGGGGCCTGTTCCAGAGCAAATTTCTGACCAGTCTCAGTGCCCCCAGAGCTGTTCCACTGTCCCTAGTTCAGGAGGCAACAGGCACACAGGAGTCGCAGCTATGGACCAGGTGCCACCCTGCAGCAGTGACCCCTGAGGCTCATGGACAGAGGGCACACAGAGGGACCTGGCTGTGCCTAAATCCCAGCCATCCTGTCTGCACATCGGTCCCCAAGGCCAGCCTTCCCTCTCACAAACCCCAGACACCTCCAGCCAGGAAAGAAAGGGAGAATCGAGTACTCGTTGTGCCTGTCTCCGAGGCCTTGTACCTTAACAAGCAATGGACACTTTGGGCAAAACCCAACTGCAAGCTGTCCAGGCCCAGACCCAGTGGTGCAGAACGGGGGACAGCTGGGCTCTAGGTGGGCAAGCCCAGGTCCATCTCCCAGCACAGCTGAGCCAGGAGGCCTGGGCGTTGCTCTCCCCCTCAGATTCCTTAATTCCTCAAATGACATAATGTGACGCACAGAGCCCAGGGTGGCTAGAGGGAGAGAAAGAGTCCTTCTCTGCAGGTCTTGCAGGGGCTCCGGGTTCCGTGCAGGGCTGGTCCCAGGGCTGGGGCCAGCGAGGCAGGGATGAACACACCACCACCTTTCTACAGCACTGGCCAGCACAGGAGGGGGCTTCCCGGCCAAGGCACCAGAAAGTGCTTTTGGTTTTAAATAACCTACTGTGCACATGGGGCCGCAGTAGGAACGCAGTAAAGGGCACTCACCTCTGCAAAGGGCCACAGGTGAAGAAAGTCAGTAAAGCCTGCGGGGGGAGGGGGAGGCACACTGTCCCCTCAACAAGAGTGGCCGGTGATGGCCCCAAAGGGCAGCATGCGCAGTAGCTGCTGCCCAACCCCAGCCAATGCCTGGGGCGTGTGGCCTCCACCCGTAGGTCCCCATTGGTGGCGCTCCCCACGCTCCCAGCCCAGGGCTGGCTGGCTGTGCTGCAGGTGACTGCTGCCCTCAGGGAAGTCCAGCTTCCCTCTTCCTTCACTGCTGGCTGCAGCCCAGGGCCTCACACACTCAGCAAGCCTCTGCCACAGCCAGCCCAGAAGGCTGAACTTTTCAACTGCCAAATCAGTTTTCTTTTGTAGCCTCGGAGGTCCCCGCCTTCGGGAGGCTGGTCCTGGACTGAGGTGAGGTAAACGTGCTATGCGGCTGCTGGGTCGGGCAGGGACTGTGCTCCCGCAGCCTGCGCCCAGCCAGGGCCCTGCGAGCTCTCAGCTGTCTGAAGTCTGGCTCCTAAACTCCCTGTGATCCTGAGCAGGGAGCCAGCCTGTCCTGGTGCTCCCTCCCCAAGGCCTCGGGGCCACCTCCATCCTGCCTCCTGCCCCTCTGTGCAGCCACACGGCAGCATGGTCAGCTCCGGCTCTCCCAGGAAGCCCATCCCAGCTGGACCCAGACCCTGGGCCTGTCTTGTTTGCAGCTGGATTCACTGAAAGGCAGCTGAGAAGCCCATTAGTGAAGCACCCAACGAAGTGCTCCCCAAGCACCATGCCTTTCATGGTGCTGAGGACGCATGGCCAGAGCCCAGCGCTGGCCAAGGGCAGCATGGAGGCCGCTCGGGCCTCCTGCAGTGCTGGGGGTGGGTGCTGTTGGCAGGTGCTATTGGCAGGGGTGACTTGTGCCACCGTCTCTTCAGGGGTCTCAGCTGGTAATGAGGGCAGGTTGCTACTCATTTTAGAATGACCACTGGACCAGCAGGCAGGAGTGGCCAGAGCCAGTGGCCAACCATCCTACCCAGATGACCAAATTGCCGTGACCCAGCCCCAGGGTGCAGAAAGTGGCCTGTTCCAGGTCTTTCTAAGCCTCCTAGTTGGGCCACAGTGGACCTGACCTAGAAGCTGAACTGACCTTGGCCATCTGCTGAATTCATTAAGTCCTAGGCACTATCTAGTCCATTCCCGCTCAGCAGGAGCCCAGCACCCTGGGCAGGTGAGCCACCTGGGTTCCCGAGCAGCTGCTTGGCCTCGTTACCTGACACCGAGAGGAGGGGGCAGCAGCAGCCCTGAGAGGCCCGGGTGTGCTCACCAGGGCCTCCCAGAGGACCCTGTCCCCGTGGATCCTCCGCACAGGGCTGGCCCACCACAGCCCGGCACAGAGCAGTGCTCCACACCAAGTGCTCCTGCAGGTGCCCAGCTGCGGAACCACAAGCTGCCCAAGCCACTCAAGAGCTGCTTGGCCCATTCGCACCAAGGCCCAGGGAGGGGATGGGCCCTTGAGAAGAGCTGGGCGCGGGGCAGTGGGGCAGGCTCGGGAGCCGTCCCATCAGGAGGAGCTTGAGGCCCTGCACTGGCACTTCACAGAAGACCAAGGCTGTCACGGCCCCCTCTCCACTCCCCAGGACAGCTCTGGCCCCAGCAGAGGCCACGAGGCTTGGTAGCTATGCGCCTCGACCCTTCCCCCACCCCATAAAGCAGGTGCCACCGCCATCCCACAGAGGAGCAAAGTGCTGGAGGCCAGCGATCATCCCAGGCTCTGGGAGTTCCGGGGTAGGGCGGCAGCCACAGGGACGCGGGACTTCCCGGGACACAACAGCAAGGGAATGAGGGGCAAAAAAGCAGATTTCAAAACAAGCAGGTACCTGGCTATTGTTTCTTGCTTCGAAGTCACTGCTCTGGGACCTCCTCTCTCGAATTAACTTCTGGTGACTCTCTTGGAGCAAGTAGCACACCAGCCACTTGTACGCAGCCAGGGGAGCTTCACAACAGGAAAGAGAGGAGATCAGCAACAGAGCCCTCAGCAGCTGCCCTGTGCCCACCCCGGGACAGATGGACAGGGCCGGCTGCAGGACACGATCTAGCACATGTCTCACACTGAGTGGGGACTGGCAGCAGGCAGCTCCTGCCACCCGTCAGTAACAGCTCTGTGTCCTGAAGGTGAGGGTCTTGGGTCCCGTGCACCTCTAAAGTCACTGGCAGATCCCGGAAAGCCATGCTCCCGCCAGTCCAGGAGAGCCGGAGGGCCAAAGGTCACTATATAAGGCTTTCCTGGACCCACATGAGGCCAGGGCCGGACTTGGGGTTTGTGACCACGCGTACGCGGGACACGTGCTTGCAGCCAGTGGTTTTATTGCAGTTTCTCCTCCAGAAAACACTTCCACTTTGCTGGGTCTCGCACGGTTAAGCAGGAAAGCACAAGACGCAGCTTGGCAGGCTTGCTGGGGCGGGTGTGCCGGGAGGGCCCAGCGCTCCTGCTCTCAGTGCCCGGGAACGGGGAGAGGCAGGCAGAGCTGGCAGGTAGGGGAAGCTGAGCCCTGCATTTCAGTTTCACAAGGCCTGACGACTGGGGGAAAGAGCTCTGGTGGCTGAAGGAACTACCATGGTGAGGGCACTTTCTAGCGCTTTCTGTGGCAACACTTGGAAGCTCAGACATAGATCTTCACGTGACCCCATTTACTATTAGCACATTAAAAAGGCAGATTGATAACAGAAAGATCTGTTGCTGTCAGAACAGCTGTATCAGCAGGTGATGGCGGGGAATACGGTAGCTACTCTGGGCTGTGTTTCCTGGATCACAATGACGACGATGACAATGGGTCACTCTGCAGCATAGCCTCCTGCAGGCGCAGCCCCGGCGCTGGTTCTCTGCTGCAGGCCCTCTCGGGAGCCCCGCAGGCTGGGGGCTGAGGAGGGCGTGCTGGGCGCCAGCAGTTGCCTTGCTCTGGCTGACAAGGGGCCTGGTGACTGGGATGCCCTGCTCCTGTCCTCCTGGGGAGGAGGCTGGTGGCTCTTTATCCTAGGGATCCAGGGCCCTCGAGGATGCTCATCCTCTGGCCTCCTGTGTACAAAGCCCAGTGCCACCCCACAGTCCTCCAGATAGCCTCAGCGGACAGGAACCATTAAGTCTGCAGCAGTGCAGTGTGTGCCTGAGGACCAGGGACATAAGGGGCTCAGGACACACAGCAGGCAGAGGCCAAAGCACAGAGGCCTCTCCCATGGCCTCCCGGGGAGGAAGAGGTCTGGTGGCGGGAAGCCAGCACTGGAGCCACAGGCACAGAAAGATGGCCCAAGAACAAGTCATTAAAGATAAAAGCAAATGCCTATGCCACACCCAGGACCCCCCACTGCCCGGCACCCTAGCTAGCCACCAGAGACCCCTGTGGCCCAGCATTGTCTGGGGTAAGACAGAAAACAAGAGAGCCAGGAAACCTCCTGCCCATGACCAGGGGGAAGGGACACACCTGCAGAGTCCAGCCAGTCAGCTTGGTGGGTGCCTGTGAGCCTCTGGCCGAGGATGCTGGGGTAGGCCTCCAGAAAGTCCACGGTCTGCAACGGGCTTCTGAAGTGAGCTCCGTCTAGGGCACACACTCCGTGACTTTGGTGAAAGGGACCCCCAAGCCAGCCCTGAAGACACAGCAACCCCGCCCAGCTCAGCGGTCACGCAGCGCGGCCCCTGCAACGTGAGGCCCCCCCACCTGGCCGGCGGTGCTCCAGGAGGCCCAGCAGGTAGCTGCTCGTCTGCTGCAGCAGGACGTTGTTGTCACCTTCGTACGTGCAGTTCGGGTCGTTGTCATTCCTGAGGTCACCCAGGCGGTTCACTGTGACAGAGCCACAGGATCTGCATCATTCACCGCGTTCACCTGAGACGCCACTGCCACCCACAGGGGTGAGGAGCCCCATGTCCCCTGAACCGCCCCTGCGTCTCCGGCACTGACTCGAGACCCAGCGGTGCCCTGGGAGGGCACGGGAGGGGTGCAGGGCTACTGGCTGCTGGACCAGGGCTGTGGAGGGGGTGCAGGACCACTGGCCGCGGGAACAGGGCTGTGGGGGGCTTCAGACAGCAGCTGGGGCCTCCCTGTGGCCCAGGCCTCTGCACCTGGTAGCACCTCCCAGCAGCATGGGGACCGGCCTGCCCACGGTCTCCACAGCGGGTCTCCAGGGAGCTGGTTCCAGGGCTGCCCTTCCTCCCACGGCTGGACGGACCTTTCTTTTCAGTGAGAAACCTCGGCTGTCAGAAACGGTCAGTCTCATGGCTCCGTATAAGGCACTCTCCAGGCCCTCACCCACCTGGTCTCCCTCCTGAGATGGGGACTTCACAAGCACGAGGCTGCCCCGAGGAGCCCAGCCTGCAAGCAGGGCGCCGTGGCCACTCCCACACGCTGCACGGACAGACGGAGGCAGCCACAGGCTGAAAGGTGCCCCGCTGCAGGAGGCTTGTGGTCACCTCTGGTCATTTTTCAAAACACTGATTAATACCTTAATCCTAGAATGGGCGTTTACATTTGTCTCTGTTGACTTCGGTCTTACTGGTCTGGCCCAGTGTTTAAATAAGTCAAAAACCTTGATTCAGTCACTTTTGTTGTCTCCGGTATTACATGATTCAATTTCCTTAAAACGGAACAAAGTGAGGCCGGGGCTGGGGCGCAGTGGTAGAGCACTTGCCTAGCATGTGTGAGACACTGGGTTCGATTGTTAGCACCACATACAAATAAATAAAATAAAGGTCCATTGTCAACTAAAAAATATTTTTTAAAAAATGGGACAAAGCTAAACTATTTGTTTCCAGGAACTTCATCCAGAGGAAGAAAACATACCTATGTGTAAATCTGTACATCCATGGTCCCCGCACTCCAGTGCCTATCAGGGACAGCGTGCAGGCACTCAGGGCATGCTGATGTCCAGCGGTGCTGGAGAGGCTCAGCTGGAGCAGCAGGGACAGCCAGCCACTCAGGGGCACGGCCATTCCGGGTCCTTGCTGCACCCTTCACCAGCTGGCAAGAGCCTGCAGAACCTCCCCAGGCCGGGAAAGGGAACAGCTTTGCAGCTGAGCTGTGGGGCGAGTCTGCAGCCTTCTGGGAGAGCTGGTTTTGAAGATTTTCCCACAGGAAAATTGAAGATTTTCCCACAGGAAGCTGTGCAGATAAGCTGCAAATGATGACACTAACAACTGCCGGGGACGATGGCGCTCGCCTGTGATCCCAGCAGTGAAGGAGGCTGAGGCAGGACGAGTCCAAGTTCAAGATCAGCCTCAGCAACTTAGCGAGGCCTTGTCTCAAAAGATGAAAAGGGCTGGGGTGTAGCTTGATGTAGAGCACCCGGCTCTGATCTCAGTACAAAAATAAGAAGATAAAATGGAAGTTCCAACTCGGACAGCCATGGGAGCAGGGTGCAGGGAGTAGGGCCAGGCCAGAGCCCAGCCAGACCCCCACTGACACGCCACATGAATTCACTCACTCAATCCCAGGAACCCACACCACAGGCAGACCTGAGAGCCCGAGCACACGGGCTAAACCGCCTTCAGTGGACATGAGTGAGGGCTGGCCTGGCCTCGGGGGAGCTGGCTAACCCTCTCAGCCTCCTGTCAGCTACCTGAGGACCCGCCAACACCAACGGAGCACTTTCCTTTCTAGGCATGAGCACTCGTACCAGTTTCCTACCGAGTCACTGACCAAAAGCTTGCCTCTCCCTGCCTGGCCCCTGGGGGCCCTCATATATCCCACATGCTGCCTCATTGTCCAAGAAAGCAGAGGGCGCTCTCTGGGGCAGAGGTCAGCAAACCACACTGGGCATGGTTCATGGCCAGCCTATGAATGCGTGGTTTCTGTCAGGGCTGCTCGGGCCACTCAACATTGGCAGGGCAGTGTGGAGACGGCCACAGGAAGCCTGGGAGGACTGGGTGCCTAGATGCCAGGGAATTCCATTCACAAGCACAGGCAGCTGCTGGGCTTGGCCCATGGGCTGCAGCGTGCTGACCCCTGATCAAACAGCAGGGATAAGGGCAGAGACCACCGCGCGCTTCTCCAGAACCTACTGGCCAGATAGCCGTGTCCACCGCAGGCCTCCCGGCACTCCTGGATTCCTTGCTGGGCAGTCCATGAGGCCAGAGGCTTGCCGGCCGATGCCAGAGCGTGGATCTCGCGCCCGAGCTCTGCCTTTGGGTGGGGAATCCAATGAGAATGGGTGAAAAGACCCTGAGAGTGCAGGTCAGGCCCCAGCGTCAGCAACGGCATCAAGGACAAAGGACCGCATCCCCTGCTCTAGTCCAAGACCCCTCGATTCAGAGGAGACCCAAGCTTAATTAAGGACAGGGAGGAATGCACCCAGGAGTGGACACGGCATTGATAAATGGACCACGCTCTGGGCAGCAGACAGGCCTCAGGGCCACGGGGTGGGCAGCGGGAGCCCAGCAGGGGAGTGACGGCTGCCTCGGCTCTCGGAAAGCCCACGGAGCCCAGGCGAGCGGGGAGTCAAGAAGGTGCTCTTGCCAGAGGGCCACAGAGCAAGGGAGGGAACCCGCACAACACCAGAGACACGCCTCCCTCCAAGGGGACAAGGGCTGGGATGGGAGCTCACGGCTGGGGCTGGCGGAAATGCCGTGACCACAGACAGCGCCCGGCAGGGCTCTCCCCGGCAGAATGCTCCCTGCCTCGCACCCAACCCCGCACACATCCCCTGAGTCCCGCTGCTCTACTTGATATTCAGGAAACAACTGAGAAAGAGAGAGAGAGAGAGAGAGAGAGAGAGAGAGAGAGAGAGAGA